GGGGGGGGGGGTATGCAAAGTGCTGTGTTTGTTTAGGAGTTACTTTACATGTATAAGGACTACTGATGTTCATTTTGATGTCAAAACGCTGCATCGATTTATGACATACTGTTAGACGGGCAAAAAAACTACATAAACAAAATAAAGAAGAGAAACAAAGCTAGTACTCCCAAGTTTAATCTGATTTTAGGTCGTGACAGGACCACTGGATACAGAATCTCTTGAAGCATCATAACATAACTGACCAAAGTGAGTAGAAATGTACCCCGTTCATCCTAATTACCAGACAAAAAACAAGTCTCCCTTTTCATCAACTATATACATTATTTCTGTCAGGCTGGGCTAAATAACAAACCAAACATGCTGTATTCTGCTAAGCCATGAAAATGAATGACTGAATAATTGAATTAATCAGCCCCTCTTTAAGTGATTGGAAATGTAACAGGATCCAGGCAGCAGGTGGCATGGTACTATTTCTGTGCTACCGGACTACAGGTAAGTGGTAACATGATCTGATAACTAGCAGTTCCCAACATCCTGTTTTCTGTGTGTTGGGAAGGGTGTCTGTGCCTGACCTATTTTGGGTTGTATATGCCAATAAATCAATATATTTACCTTCGTTTGGGCTTCATCTACTGTATGTGTAAAAAAAAAAAAGAGGTTTAGCATTTTGACCAATTGGTTTGAATTGCTCTGTCTCCATCGCTTGCTTATCAATAACAGATCTTTTTTATATATTGTCACAGGACTTACTACATGAGTAGTTACAGATAAATAGTTCACAGGAAACATCCCGAATTCTAGGGATAACGATGGACAATCAAAACATTTGTTTACGCATAAATACTTTTTTGGTGGGCTCATACAGATAGCGCTGTATGGTCAGGAGCCCCACCACTACTAGAGGTACACCTGTCCTCCACCCACCTCTCCAAACACACACACACACACACCTGTTCTGTAACCTAACGGGAATCAAAGGTCGCAGCTGCACAGGAGACCCAATGGACCCAAGAATAATTGTGATGCAACATTAAGAAACCAAGTCTCTGCTAATATGGATCACCCACAGGATTATTGTTTACTATAATCTGTCATGAGGAAAGGGAATATAGCCTATATTGCATTTTTTTTTTTACCAAATTCAAGGGAGCCTAAAATCAATCTGGCACAATATTAATTATTCTCCAGTGCTGGACTGAGTACACTCCTTCTCCTTCCCTATTCTTGCACCCCAGGAAAATACACGCACAAATACAGCAGAAAATACCAAAATGTAATCTTTTTTACTGTTAATATTCTGGAGTATACCCTGTATTGCAGAAGGGGTAAATAAATCTTGACGTTACCAGCCCAGTTACAGATGCAGATGCAGATGCAGAAAACCGAAATGATTCCTGATAAAATGGGTAGTAATATTAAGACACTGAAATAATAATCGGGCAGGTGTTTTTTTTTTTTCTCCCTCAAAAGCTGACCACTGCAAAACTTAACCTTGTGTTATCAGATCGCTTATCACAGCCATCTGATGCCACAAAGAGGGCAGATGGAAAGCTAGCGAAGCTATCTTGCTCCCTAAGACAAAAGGGAAAGTAATGGCTTAGCTATTGTCAATAGCAGTTAGTATACAGAAACCCAGCTCACAGCACTCTCCATTGCACATCGACGTTTGTGATTTTGTACGATCAACAAGACTTGAACCACCCGAAGCACACACTTGCAATATTACCGTAACATTAACCAAAATACTGGATACCAACAGGCATTGTAAGAAGGCAGCGCTGGCGTTAGCAACCTAGCAACAACAGACACCTGCTCCTGCTCCAGCTGACCAGCTAGCATCAGTGACTAGCCCAGACCTATGCTACCACTCAGCGTGCTAAGTTTAGACAAATAAGTTACACCGAAAACCCCTTTTGCGCCAAACGGACCACACTTTGGCCAGTTTTAGAGCCCAGGCACCCTGTGAGAGAGGCTATGGTTAGCCTCTGCTAGCGAGCAGGACCTCTCACAGCTGTGGGTATCTACAGGCAACGTTAGCAAGCAGGCTACCACGTCACAAAGAAACACCCTCGCTAGCAAACTACCCCAGCTATTCACCGAGCCTTCACTCAGCAGCAGACAAAAACATAAAGCACAGCATCAATATCACATTCATACAATTATCCCTTGGAACGAGAAGGGGCTTAAGTTCGGGCTGAGATAGTAAAAAATGTATTCAAACCTGAGCGGTGGACTGGTTGATGAGATGAGGATGGTGGAGGAGGTGGTAATGATGGAGCGAGAGGTTGTTGTTGGTGGGTTACAGTCGCCAGGACTACGGTGACTATGGCGCTGCCTCACTGGGCAACAGTTGCTATAAAACTCACCGGGAGCGCGCAACCTTACCAGTCAGGTGGGAGGAGATTAAAGCGCCCTTAATACAGTCTTAAAGGAAATAAGATCACACCGATAGACATATGTATTTGGAGTATATTGGGGATATGTTACAAGGATGGCCATTCCATGCAAACCCATGCGTTTAGTCGGGTAAATTTCAGTACATCAAGAATGAATAACACAGGGTGTTGAAATAAAGTCAGAAATGGGTTTAAGTGAGGGCAGGTTTGTAAAACAAAAGCCTACAAGTCTGCAAGTTCCTTAAAATGCTTTTGTTTTACCTCAGCTGATGCGAGCTTTAAACCCCTAATCAATCTTAATGAGATCATTTTTGTATTACTTTATTTTCATACTGTTGTGATTATGATTATGCATATACAGATGATTATTCATGAAGTTTGTGCTTCTTTTTAGGTTGACTGAATGTTCTGCTGTAGGTCTATATTTGTGCATTGTTAGATTCTGAAGAAGACAAGTTATAGGCCTATCATCAAATCCTGCTATAAAGAGTAAAATGTGCTTCTAAAGCTACCGTGTTAACCCAAAATCAGCCTCAGCAACATCTAAGTGTTGCATTTTAATTTGTCTTTCAATATAATGAACAGTTCAGTTTGCCATGGAGATGTTTCTCTTGACATTCACTTTTTAGTTCAGAAAATGAGGCACAATTGAATAAAATCAGCAATTAATACCATTAAAGTGTTTTAGGTGTTTTATATAATAATTATATAATAATTTATATAATCCATTTGGACATAATCCTCATCAGAAATATGTAAATGACAAAGGATTGTAATAGATCTCACTTGTCCAAACATGTTCTAGCCATTTCTTGTTCCTCAGATTTGAGAATGAGCAGACTGCAGAAAACGTCTTTTTCTTTTAACCCACCATTTGTGGAGGAGAACAGGATCATGTTTTATTTTGCAATTATTCCCACTGTCTTAATTTGTTATTGGAAAGTTAACCCCTCCTAATGAATGCGTCTTTCTACCTGAACAATTAAATGTTATCATTGTAGGTGTTAGCTGATCGTGTTATGCTTTTGAATCAAAATAAATGCTCCTTGTTTAATTCTCAGCCTAAGCCTTGTTTTTCTGACATAGCAGAGCAAACAAACAAAATAAATAGTTTTACAAAACTGGAGTTGACAAGCAATTATTGACAATATTTGAACCTCAAATTATTGATATACAAATATAGTCATTTTCATACATTGTGCACCACAAGTAAGGCTAAAATCATTCAGAACTTTTTAATTGGGAAAGGTGACCAAACAAAGCCAGCATTGTTAAGAGGCATCCTACTGCATACAAAGCTTAACCAACCACCTGTGTCCACTGCGCAACACTTTTTTTTTGGTAAGCAGTACTAAACAGATGCTTTTTGGACAAGCTGTTGTTGTTGCTAAGCAACTACTGAAACCCCCATCTGAAGCATGACACTCTTTTGCTAAAAGAATTATTTTCAAGTAATACAGTTTGTCCTTTCAATTTCAAACAAGAAAAATACGCTGCTGTGAAGACTGGTGCCTGCTGGACCTGTGGCTTTTCATGGTGTTCAGGTATACAGCTGTGGTTGATAATTAATTCTGTGATTTATGTTAGCTTGTTCTAAGAACTATTAAGTTATTTATAATGCTACCACGAAGCAGTTGTTCTGTTGTACCTTTTCACGTCTTGTTGTCTTTAATGCAAATATAGAGATAGAGATACTGACTCCATAGAGGTACTTACTTGAACAATTAAATTTGTTTATCTTTGCCTGGGAAAATGTGGTTTATGGTGTGCAAAGCTGCTGCTTTTTAAAGTATCAACAAAGGCATTACAAATTTTAGAAATCCACACAAAGTATCCACACTAACTATCTGTGGCATTATTTTTGAGAGCGGTAAAGATATAATCCTTGGCCTTGCTCTTAAGTGACAGAACAGCTGATAGAAGGGGGGTGTTGGAACTGTAACCTTGTATCTGTTATCTGTGTGGTGAGCTTTAAAAAAATTCAATAAAATTAGCCACCAACTGATCCTCAAGAGCTCTGGTGCATCTTCACATTTAACAACATTACAAACAAGGGAACAAATGATTTACTTCTTTTTCCTGATACAATAGCATTGTTTCTGCATATTTTAGCCCAATTAGTACAAATCAGTGCATACTTTACATTGCTGCTAATAATTTTTCAAAGCTTGCCTTAGAATTTTTTACAGTTTTTTTGAATCCTCATAGTCATTTCACTACACTGTTATCATTGCATGGTAATGCAGCTGAAAGTGCAAATTAGATTGAGAAGTCTGCACTGCATTAAAACACAACAATAACGTAACTGGCAAAAATAAAAACAGCAATAATCACTATGATAGTTGACCTATTTCAAGCAAGTTTTAAAGTCTCCAAAAGTTAATTTTCATACTATATGGAAATGAACTGAAATGAAAAACAGGTACAAAAATGCCACGTTTTTCGAAAGTCAACTGCAATATCAAGTGTCAGTCATTTGCAGTAATTAACTAAAACATGTAAATCACTGGTATCAAAAATCCACCCCATGATCACTCAAAGCATATTACTATATTCAAACAACAGGTTATGTCTATGAACATTACAGTGAAATGGTAAGGCTGTCTTGTTACTATAGTTACAAAGCCATGGTTCTAAGAAAAACCTTATAATAAATGATCCCTTGCATACTTTGCTTTGATTACAGTGTTGAATATTGTGCAAAATGTCACCAGAAACTACTTCAAGTACTTACTACATGTTATACACAAGCTGTAAAAAAAACTAGAAAGTAAACATTAAAATCCTGCAGGCTACTGTACATTGATTATGGGGGCAGAAGGCAGAGTGTTGATTCATTTATAGAGATTTAGTTGAAGAGAGAAACTTGCTTAATTATGCATCCGTCAGGTTATGGTGCCATCTGAAGTATTCTTCCCATTGACCATTTTATTTAAATGGAAATGGGGACATAAAACAGTGCAAAGGAACAAAACCGGCGACTGAGTGATATCATCCCTCTGTGTAGATGCAGGAGACCTGGCTTGTGCAGTGGTCCACCACAGTGAAGAAATCCCCTCCATGCAAATCTTGTTTAGGATCCACATCCTTAATGTCTGCCCGGCTGTGGACATCAAATCCTGCAGATGCACACACACACACACTCATGTATACAGATATAAACAGATGCATGTATGCACAGCAAAAATTGTGAAATCTGATGGCAATAAACTGCTCATCCTAGAGCAATTTTGGTTAGACTGTATTTTCATTACCTGTAATGCAGGAAAGAGCTGTTTGTAAGGTGGCAACCCCATTGGGATTATTGACTGCTGGAGGGAGGCTGTCACCAAAGGCATCATCTTGCATCAGATGACTCGAGCTTGTCTGTGCTGTGATCCCACCATATTGTGGAGGAGAATATAGAATCTTCATCTGCCCTGGGAGCTCTATGGGGTAAATGAGAAAGCCATTTATCCTATTGTAAAGAACAACTCTATAGCTTCTTTCCTTAAATTATACATTCCAGTAGAACAGCAGCATTAGACCTCATGAATGTAACAAATTGTGCCTTTCTGTCTTCTCAAACCCTGTCTTTATCTCAGCAGTTAAAACTAAAACGTGTGTTTCTGAACACCTTGTCAACATCATTGTGGCTGTCAACTCCGAAGGGGAAAAGAAGTGATATCTATTTAAAAGTACATAGAGTGGAGCTACCTGATTCTGTCTAACTAGAAAAATCACCAGCCACCTGCTACACATCATAAAGATATAGAGCACAAATTAATGTGCATGTGAGAAAATCTGTTCAAATAGGTTGTCAAACCTCAGACACTTGCTAATAGGCGTTCAGATGTGAAACATGCGTCTATTTGAAAAACCCCAAGAATACACTGTAAACCTCTGGGTACCTGGATTGTGAACTGCTAGATCAGGAGGCTGGCTGGGGTGCTTCAGATCTTGGTTGTTCTGCAGGGACATCCCATTGGGAGGATGCTGGAGGCAGGTGGAAGAGCAAGGCCCACACTGGTCTCTGGGGAAGAGCTGGTGAGGGGAAGGATCAACAAACCTGAAATATTTCAGACTGAAGTAAATACTCTGCTTGTGGAATTAAGAAAAAGAACAATATATATTTTAATTATTAAATAAAATCCCCGACAATCATTACTTATTTGTATTCTGTGGACCACACACAAAACATTCATACAATCATGTACAGTAATGATTTCCAAAACAATAGCAATGCAATTTTCTTTTGAGAGGAGTTGATATTTTAAATATAAAACGGTTTCTAAATATTTCTTGCATATAAAAGATTATTACCCACTGAATGGAATCAAGGATTACTTTATATTCTGTAAGCTTTCTGTGCTGAAATGCAATTCAGTGCAAACGCATACATTCTACAGTTATTACAGGTTTTGTATATGATTCAATGTATGGTATTTTCCTTAAAAAATAAGTAATACACAATATTTATATGAAGCTGTGTGTAATGACATCAACCTATGTATAAAAAAACACCATTAAATGCTGCCAATCTCTGTTTTTAAACCACTTACCGGAGATGTCCAATGCTAAAGAAATCAAAAACATCCAAGGTCACAGACTGCATCATCCTCTGACCAGCCTTAAATTTTAGTTTTGCGAACTTGAATAAACAACTGCATTTGTGCTATTCCATATATTCCCCCGTTTGACACAAAGGCACAATAATCAGTTAGCCTTCAAATAAAGCATTAATCCATCCATCATGAGGTAATGACAAGGTGACAATTTCACACATTATGCGTAAATCTGACGTAGAATTCAGCAAACCTTGGTTCCACAACCATTTGCATGAGAAACTGTTGTACTCACTTGATGAGATGGACAACATGACACATAAAATAACCACTTAAAAGAATGCAGAAAGCTCTCTCTCTTTCAGTTTAAACTTTTTCCATCTCCATCTCTGCTTCATCCAGGTAATGAGGAAAGAATTACTGCTTTCATGGGTTCCTCTGCCTCACTTCCTGGCTTCCTGCTCAGCTGATTTAACCCCTAATTTTCTGCATGGCATAATTCTGGTTCAACAATGGAGGGATACAATGCACTCAATGTTGGATGTCTTCTGCTGCAAATTTAAACATAATTTAAAAGCATATGTATGATATTGCTATTTACAATAAAATATAGAATTTCTGCACAATACGGAAGAAATACGCCATCTCAGGTGTTTCAGTTACCAAGTTCACAACCGCAAGATTGATTCTCTGTGCGATGTAATACAGTCTCTACTCTATACACTTATGGCCTGTACTACACAAGCTCATTCAAAGCATTTTCTCTACAAGTCTCTACAATTTGTTCCTTTGTCACTCTTTTTGATAGATAGTGGATCAAAACTACTCCTTCTGTCTTTAGTGTAATTAGCTCAAAAAAGAAAGACTTGTTAAACTCACTGAAACATTTTTTTTTTCAGCCTGTATTGTATTACAGTAAATCATTACTTTTATACCTCTGTTGCTAATTGTTACAGAAAATCAAAATCAATGGCATTTTGTTTAGATTCATCTAACTCATTATTATATACAGAGGATTAAACTAGTAAATTTAAATATTGTTCAGTGGCCATGGTAGCGGACACCCCTTTGGTTTGGCCAAGAAACACGTTTGCAAGCCAGAGTTTGCTGACAGTGTACAGGGACTGAATGGGAACCGAAAAGGAATCCAAGAAAAGTGTACAGAAAATGGCAGCAAGGATTTTACAATCGATTTAACATCTAAAAAAAGTAATTACAACGTCTCTCTTCTCCCACTGGACCTTAAATGGTATTTTTTAGATTTTATGATTCACTTATTGAATTCCTTAGCCGCTCTTGTCGGTGGCTATAGCATCCACTAATACCAGCGGTTGAGACCAATGAGGCAAGGCGAGGTCTGCTTTCACAGGCCAATTGTCTACCCAGAATCCTGCAGTGAATGCTTTGGCCTACCGCTGATATGAGAACAATCAAAGCCAGTGAGGAGCCATGAGCATCTGGCTGCTCAGAGCGACAGAAATACTTTATCACATGCTTTGAAGTGTATAGATGAAGGGATGTTTTCCTATGGATTGACCAGGGAAATATATTGCTGGCCATCTCCAACCTGTAAAGCCTTTTCCCAGCCACAGCACCCACACACATAAAAAAAACAAGAAACAAAACAATAATAAAAAAAACAACAACTGTTTAGGCTCTTTTATCAGGGTACAAAATAGTGCTTTCTTTTAAACTGATTATTCTAATTATGAGCTTATAGACTTGAAGCCATGACAACCATGTTTAAGTTGATTGTTTCAGATCATCAAAAGGGAGAAAAAAAGACTTATTTAAATCAGTCATGGTTAAAGTTCTAACTGTGCCAATGGGAAGACAAAATGAAAAGAAAATACCAGTTGGCTTGCTGGGAAAAACTAACTGCTCCAACTGTTGACTCTTATGTTGCTGCACATGGTTATATTTCACAGTATTTCAAAAAGATTAACATGAAGATGTTTTTATTTTACGTATGAATTGTTATGAGCAGGCTCCACACAGTATAAATGTAAATCTTTTTTAGTAAAAATTTTAGAATTCCTGTCACATTAAGTATATATGTATAAAAGAATATATACGAATAATAACATCATTTAAATCATTTATTTTTTGGATTTTTTCATATAATTTCAAATATGAAGACCTAACACAATAACACAAAAATCCTTAGTACCTGTAATCATCTTGTAAGGAGCACAACAGAGCCAGGTGAGGATTGCCGGAGGAGTCTTGTCCCTGTGGAGCAGCTAAGGAACAGGGATGACAGACACTTCAGGGCTGTCCACCACAGCCTCAATATAATGCATAAACCTAATATGTGCACATGGTTGCAGGGAGATTTTTAAGTATTATCAGTTTTCATATCAAACATTTAAATGCAAATAGGAAAGGCATCGACATACCAGAGTATGAATCATGAGACGTACAAGGGGAAGAGTTTAAGTTGTCGTCTATCCTTGCCAGAGGAGAAAGGCATGGCTGCAGAGGGTGGATGGTTAAACAGTCTGTCAGAGTGTCCTGGGATACACCATCAGTGGACTTCAACTAGAGAAATGACATACATAAACATAAACAGTGATGAATAGCAAAAACATTAATGAGATTCTGGTAGAATTTTCATTTAATCATTGCATTATATTAGTGGTAATACTGAGATAGTGTTATCTACAAAACTATTTTGTGTTACTCATATAATGAGCATCTTCTGCCTTTTTGTGTTGTACACTGTTTATTTCTGTTATGTGAATGTGGACTAAATATCATTATTTAGATATGACTAAAAACCTTAAGTCTTCCACATCTGATTTTATAATAATGCTTCATCTGTGTCACCTTGAGCACTTCTTGCTTTCAGCTGTTGAAAAAAAAGTTAATACATAGATCTGAACGTGGACATAACAGTCTATTTTTATTACCTGTAGCCAATAACTAATCTCTGCCAAATTAATCAAAAAACAAACTTAAATCAATTCAAAAGAAATCTGAATAACTGGGAAAACTTAGTTGCGTGGCATACATTGTATGGTGGACTTGGCTAATGACAATACAAACTACTATATAGAGAGGTATCTAATCCCTGTGAATACATCTATTGACTAAAACAGAATAAATACTAGACATACATAATGAATGAAACACTGGGTTTACTATGATGAAAATCTGAAGGATTATAGCTTTTTAAAGACTGTTTGCTTCCATCAGAACTATTTGCAGACAAGAATGTGGAGACAAGAAACAGCAAATGGATGCGTATGAGGGTTGTTATAGGTGTATAAGTTAGATATTGCATTGGTCTTGGTAAGAAACTAATATAACGTGTCATTAGTCAAATGACAATTACATTAAACATTTATTTGCGTTTTAGATGAAAGAAGTTGTGCATGTGGGAGACTTTGTAAAATGTCACTTTTTTTAGTAACTACCCACCTTCTTTGTCTGTATCTATGGTGACATCACTCTCAGTAAGAGGTAAAGAGTATAATTCTCTATCACACACGCAAAAATCTTAACAACACTGCAGTGCAATAATGTGAAACAATGGAGTCGGCTTAAGTGAAAAATAAAGCAGGAAAATATGACAAAAACATAATTATGTGTATTTTTTTGCGTGACCTAGCTCTGAAGCGTAGCACATAAGTGGCTGTCTAAACTGACTGATTTTCATCCGACTGCATACACACCTAGATGTAAGTTTCACATTTTCTTTTCAAGCTGTAGAGCTTAACTTGACAGAGTGGGATGGAGAGCACATCACAGAGTACATTCTCAGTGCCGTCAGTTAATTAGGACAAATGAAAGCAAAATGATGAAATATGAAATGTGTTTTTTTCTTCTTCATGGTTGTAATGTTGAGGAAGTGATGCTGCCTATTTGCAATCACCACTAATGAGATCTGGTCAAGGTGGCAAGTTATTTATAACTGCAAAATCTCAACCCAGCTTTTACAAATCCAGTATATTTTGTCGGTCAGTAAACTTTACACGTTCATTGAGTTGTGTGCTTGGTTTGTCAGTAAAATACATTCTCAGTAGTATTTGTTCTCAAAGAGAAAACAAACTGCTAAAAGCTGTGAATTGTGTTGCACAGCATGCACAGCAGTATACCTTCTTCCGTAACTGTCGTTCTCTTGTAGAGTGTGATTTCACGTGTTTCCTTAAGGAGCTGGGATCAGTATAACGCTTTGCACAGCCAGGCACCTGGCACGTATATGGCTTCTGTAAAACCACAGACATAGGAAAAACTTGTAAGACTCCACATAGAGGCAAAGACAGACAGACACACACAGACGCACACACACAAGCTTTGAAATACCATCCATAATTGCGCATATCTCTACAAGGCTGCCACTCACTGTTTCCAGGTGTGTACGCTGGTGTTTAGCTCTGTCACTTGAGTTGCTGAAGGCCTTGTGACATCCTGGGTGCTGACACAGATAGGGTTTCTCCCCCGTGTGGCTACGCAGGTGGATCTTCAGATTTTCTAGACGAGAGAAAGCCTTTTTGCAGCCTTCAAACTGTAACCGCACATAAACAGAGTAAAAGTAGTCAAAGAAGTCCTCTGCCATCATGTAGCCACAGATTAACATTTTCTACTACTTGCATTTAAAACAGACCTAGGGGTCATTCATTTGAAGTCCTTTATGTTTTTGGCTGTTGGCTCCATCCAGTGTAATATTCAATGTAATCTCTACAAGTTTAGAAGATGGAAGTCAATAAAGAAAAGGCCTACTGACCTCAGTGCATGGGAGGGAGTGGAAGAGGAAATATAGAAAACCTTTTAAATGTAAAAATGATTTAGTGTCAACTGACTCTCAAATATACCCTAACTGCTCTATGCTACAGTAGTTTCATGGTTGCAGGCAATCATCTATAAAGCAGCAAAGCCCTAAGTGGGGTAAACATTTGGGAGAGACAGTTGCATTTTAGTTTAATGGCAAGATTATGTTCTCTAGTGACAACTGGAACTTCTGGTTATTATCTGTAGTGAGCAAGCTTTATCAGTTGTCTTGATATGTTTGATTATTATACAACCGCAGTGCATTGCTACTACACAGCATTTATTTTGTGAATTTACTTGATGATAAAAATGATGACTTTGTATTTGTTAGCACACTTTTAGATGTTGATGTTAAGATGTAATTATTGGACTTTACTAACTTAGTTGGACTCACTGTGAAGAACATATATTTGCTTCACAGATCTACACTGATAATTCAACATAGCCTACTGAGTCTGATACTTTATTGGCTGAGCAATAAGTATCATATTTAGTTTGAGATCCGTCCCTTAACTGCACATAATCCTGAAAATAAAATACCCAGAATGAAATGGTTACTGCTTTCTGACTGTCATGAGTCATAGTGCTCTTTTTTGACAGGTAACTCTTAGGTGTTTACTATCCATAAATGAGAACTAGTCTAAATAATACAAATATACAGAGGCACAAATATGGTAGAAATATATATTTTTTTCTGTTCTGTTTTGTAGTTTGCACTTCAGTTACATATAAGGAACTGTTGTCACAGTGATATTGGGATCTTTAAATAGTTTACACAGATAGAATCATGAGGCTTTGTGCTTTCAAATGATGTAGCCTTTGTCTGTAAGTTTGTAAGGGTTCAATTGCAGGCATCTCAAAAGGTATTAACCCCCCACCCACCCAGGCTGCTGTTTGTTAAGGGGTTTTATTTGCAACGTTTAAAATTTCAAAAGACTTAAAACAATGTTTAACTCTCCCACTGTTTCAAATATATTTGAATTGTTTATACCTATTGTACTAATATAATATTTTAAGTAATACACTTCTGATAGTTGGGTGTTGCACCAGCAGGGGTCAGTGTTTATAAACACATCACTGTATTTGTGTTTTGAATCCTTCATCTTGCATCACCTTGACAGCGGTCTGTGGCTATCGATTAGAGAAAAAGTAAAGTCACTTCTAGTAGTAGTAGTAGTAATAGTCTAGAATATTCTCTATTAACCAACAAAACAGCTCTTTTTTGCTGTATCATGCGACCACGGTGACTTCACTGCTAAAATATGTGAATCATCAAAGCTTATCTTTTGTAAGGCCAGGCCTTTACTCTCCCTCTTCCTGTTCATGGGGGCTTGGAATGTCCTTACTAAGCCTTATGGAGAAAACACACAGACCATGTCCAACTTTGTTATTTTTCCTCTAAGGCTAGATTCCTCACATACTGATACCTTGCAGTCATCACTGCCAAACACAAATTAAAAATGATTTTTTCTTCCCTTTAATAGTTAACTAATAACATTCCTCTGGATAGAAATACTTGCCATCACTACAAAGCTATTTCCTGACAATATATATTCCCAAAAGTCCATCCAGTTACTGCAGTTGAACTTGAAAATAAAAATTCTTCAAGTCACTTTTAGCCAAACTTACTTATTTAATATTATAACCAAATGTTTTGAATGTTTAATGGATGGTGGTTGTATTCTGGAAATGTTATAACAGCATAAGGTATTGATCAGTGCTGAATGTGAAGAATTCTTAACATTTTGGCAAAGCAAACAGACAAAATTAGAAACTGAACAAAACAACAGAGTAGCACAAAATGAGAATTGCTTCTCATAACCTCTTCCCACGCACTTCATTCAGGCACTCTTTCCCATTCTGTTTCATTACAGTAAATGCTCCTTTATAGGAGGATGCACAATCCTAAATATAGTTTAAAGAAAAAGAATTAACAACAGAACCCTAAGCTAGACTGCCACAAGAAAAAACAGCACAGCCAGAGATAAATAGTCTCTTGCAACCAAAGTGAACGAACAACTGAGAACCAGCATAAAGCTAAAATACTGCCAAGACTCCAAGACTAGCCAGAGGCGGGAAACTGTGTAACTCTCTCTCTCTCTGTTTCATGAAGCTCTCATAAAGCGCAGAGGGCTTTTTAGTTTGTCGCGAGGGACGTTTGGGCTGAAAAGAAAGCAGCATGGGTCCTCAGTGTAGATCAGTGTTACAGCCAGCTTCTGACAGGTCCTGGCAGGTACTCATGCCCTGGCTGAACAATGACAGCTGCAGTCTGTGCCAGCAGAGTCTGTCCAGTGCCCAGTCTTACTCTGAGGTCAATTCACTCTGGACTTACTCTTCCCTGTTTCACCAGTGATATTTCTACCCTTTTGCTCTTTTTGTTTCGCCTGTTTCCCTATACTGTATATTTTTAGCTTCAGTGTTAATAGAAAACCTTATGAACTATCCAAATATTTAAAACAATATATGTGACAAACTGTCACTAATTGGTATCATGCCTAAATTTTAGAGGACACTGTGGGACTGTGGGGTGTTAAGCATTTTGGAGCGATAGATGGCTGCAATATGCTGTAATCGGGCATTATTGTATTATTGTGATATATTTCTATACAAATTACACTAAATAATTACAATTATCTCCAGGCGAGGATTCATAATTTTTTATCAGCAACTTCATTTTTTTGGTTTACATTTATAAGGTTTCAGCTGAAGAAAATAATTTGTTAACTAGTGCAATAATATACAATATAATTTGAAAATGTATTCCAGTACTAAAGCATCATTTCCTGGTGCCAAAATCAGGTTAGTTCCCTCCAAACAATTGTCAAGGATGACGCTTAAAATGTTGTCTAACCTGAAATCTTATTAGGCCTGCCTTCAGTGGTATTAGTGAGGCTTGAATTACAAGCTGCAAGTGTTGGGAAATTAAGTGGATTAGCAAGGAACTATGTTTTTTTTTTCACTCAGTGAGTGAGTAAAAGTCAGTAAATGCACAGATTGATCACAGCATGGATACTGAGAGAACGTAGATGAAGCAAATTTTGGCCAACAATAATTGATGCTAACTGGCGGTAATTATTGTTTTACAAAAACATTCAGTAGAATTTTGAGTCAGGAAAAAATAACCATAGAATTAAAAACACAATTTACTCAGTCAGAATAACTGAAATTAATTGAGTGGAATTTTCAGTGCTGGAGAGGTAGTAGAAAAACCTGGCAGCCACAATGTACAAGCTAATAATTCCAAAGAGCAAAGCCATTTCTCCACTACCTGAGGAGCAATTAGCGAAATGGTAATAGCAGAAAATTAAATATAAAATCGTCCAAAAATCATAATTAATGTGCTGTTTCACAATGACAGTAGAATTCTCTTGTTTGGGTTTCAAACTCTGCTTTTAAAACTGCATATATTTAAGTCACAGTGACATATACAAATAGACTGGTGAGTCAAGGATATGCTAACAAACTGTTCACTGTTCAATCATCATTAAACAGATTGTCAAATGACAGGTACAAGCCTGGGCCTGCCTTATATGTTCACTGTGTAACAAGAGCTACCTCATTGTTCTGCACGCTGGCTTGCACTTCATTTATCACGCCTCAGTTTATTCACCTGAGAATAATTTAGTTAGCTTTCTCTAAATATTAAAGTATTTTTAGCTGTTCTAACTCTTCTGTGATTTTCATATGTAGAATTTATTTTGCTTACTTTTCAACCCCAGAAGGAAGAGAAGTGATCACATGCGCAGACTCATGCTCAGGACTATGAAAATGTTTATGTAAAGAGAAAAAAAGCCTACACTTTTGACATAATGTTCAGACCTTGACCTAAAGAAAATCCACACAGATTTAAAATGTCTCATTGAAGCACAGGCTTTGCCATGATAAGTGTTGCCTTTTTCTCTCTTTATTCAAAGTTAGCCTGTACTACTGTAAAACAAACCGCAAGTGCCAGTTCATATCGGTTCTGTTTTTGGAAATGGGTTCTGACCATGAATACTTTCTTCATTATTAAATGATTACATGGAACATAGACCCATCCAATGATTGCAGCCCCATGGCAACAGTGTGCTTCAACTAATAAGTGAGTATTTTGGTACAAAAGGTCGACTGCAGGTATGCATGTTGTTAATAATTGACTTGTTAAAAGCAGTGACATGAAGCATGTTTGACCAGTGGTTTGTCAATTACTCATCTACGTCTCAAGTATTTCCCAGTGGGAGTGAGAAGAAGACAAAGGAGAGAGTGAGGAGTGGAGTAAAATCCATACATAATTTTTAGCATGACTCTATGGATGTCGGTATGTCTGCAGGTTGGTGGGTCGGTCAACCACTTTTGGTTTGACTGAAATATCTAAACTATTAGATAAGTTGCCATGCAATTTAGTACATACATTTATAGTCCCCACAGGATGAATACCATCAATTTCTGTGGCCCTATGACTTCTCCTCTTGCATCAGTGAATTGACATTTTTGGCATTTTGGAGGTCAAGGTCTTCAATTCATCCTATGAAATATCTCAACATTTACTGGTACAAAATTTGGCACAGATAGCCATGCAACTCAGACAATTCATCCTATTGACTTTAGTAATCCCCTGACTTTTCTTGAAGCATCAACAGCAGGTTTATATTTTTGGCTATTAGATGGATTGTTGTTACATTTGGTAGAGACATCCATGGCCCCCTCCAGATGAATTGTAATTACTTTGGTGATCCCCTGACTTTTCATATAGCACCAAAACTTTGGATTATAACCAAATATCGTTCTAAGCCTCGATTGTAATTCGTGTTGGTGCTAATTAGCAAATTAAAGCAGCAAACACACTTCATAAACATTAAAACTATATATTCGCATTGGCTGTTGTAAGCATGTTAGAATGTTGACAAAAGCTTTTGGCCTAGTCTTGTTTCTATATTCTAGACTTGCATTACACTTAAAACAAATAACCAAACTAAAGAGGCATCATTAAATTGCAACACATCTAAAAGAACTATCAATCAGGCCAAACAAAGCTACTAGTTCATCAATAATCAGTCCCATGGATAAATGCCAATTCTTTGGCCACAATGATGCAGACCTGTAGAGAGCCAGACTACAGGGCATCACCTTCCCAGAACGATGGCCAAGTTTGTCAAACGGTGGCCTGGCAAACCCCCTGCTGCTGACAGGCCCAGTAGCTTCTAGAGAGCCATGGTGCCATGCCAGATCTAAAGTGCTAGGCATCTTTTGTGCTGATTTAATAACTACATAATTGAGTGAACTCCCATGTCAATTATCATAGAGCTCTGCTAATTACCCCATGGCTAAAGTTAAGAGGAGAGAGAGACCATATTTTTGATCTAAACCTTGGCCATAAACACAGAGCACATGAAGGCATTTGTCCTAAAAAGGCTTTTTTTCCTGCAGCCTGAGGCCTGAAAGCCTTCAAATAGATACTGTGGCATTGAAGGGAACACTGAGTATTGAACTCTGTGAGCCCCTGACATTCATCATGTTCCTGCTTTGACTGCATTAACTCAGCCTTCTCACAAATAAGTAAAGCGATATGCATCTGATTCAGATTGAGCTGTGCTATCAGTGTATTGTTAGGAGGAAAGAAGGCATACAGAATCTTCTGTGTGAAAATAAAGCATAGACTTTAGTTGCATGAGAAGACACGCAGCTGTGGTCTGCATGGTGTACCGTGCACTTGTTGGGTTTCTCTCCTGAATGGACCCTCATGTGAATCAGAAGCTTGTATCGGGCATTGAAGGGCTTGAAGTTGCGCGTACAGCCCACCCAGTAGCATGTGAAATCCTCAGCCTTCCGCTGGTCCACATGTAACTTTTCTATGTGTCTTACCAGTTCCTCCTTTTGCTCATAGACTGCACTACAGTTTAACCACCTGCAGCAGTGGGACCCATAGTCCTCCAGCTCTCCTTCTTCTTCTTCCAGCATTGGGACCTGGGGTAAAAAGCTCACTCCATGCCTGGGAGGAACCATAGGAGGCTGTGCGAGAGGGTCCTGAGAAGGGGGTTTTATTTTGCAATGACGTCTAGTGAGGTGGAGGTGCTGGTGTGAGTGGTAGGGTGGTGGAGGCCCCTGTGGAGTAGCAGCTTCTTGGATAGTGGTCAACAGGGCTGGCTGTAACAAAAGATGTGGCAGCAGGTTGTTGGTAGTTTGGCTGCAGCTTTCTGAAGTCGTCTCCAGTGCCCCTCCTTCCTCTGGGAGGCACTGCTGCTCCACCACCATGTTAGCCATCTGGCTCTCCAGACCCCCTCCCTCTTCAAGCAGCTGCATACGTCCACACTCTGTCTGCGGGGCCAGAGCCTGCGCAGAGCCTGGCATGCTGTAGGGATGACCCTGGGGGATGGAGCAGCCTCTCACACCCAGGAAGTGACCATAACCTTCAGACTGGACAGGTGAGAGTGTGGGATGAGGGGAGCTGCGGGAACCGTTGATATAAGCCACAAGTGAGGTAGGTGAAGTGCGTATGATGGAGTTGAAATCAATACCCATGACATCCGACAAAGGCGACATGGAGAGAGCTCTCTTCTTAGCACGAGACTGTCTGGGGCTTCCACCATCACCTGCAAAGAGGTACGAGGGGAGGGAGGCTGAGGTGCTAGTGCCACCTGATACGGTCGTGCCAGACATGGCTGTGCCAGGGGAAAGGCTGAGCTGCATACCTCCCTCGCTGGCTTGGGTGGAGCACTGCGGTAGACCAAGTGGAGGAAGCACACGGTAGCCATATGGCCAGTCATGTCTGCCACTAAACACTGACTGTGTTTCAAACAGACTTAAGGTAGTGGATGCCAGGGATTCTCTGGACAGTAAGGATCTGAAACAGATTGTTGTTATTCACTTTAGTATCACTCTTCAGATTTAGTGCACTCATCATAACATACTGTTATTGATATTGCCCACCTGGCATCAGTGTGGGGAATGTGCACACTATGTGGATGTGTTGGAGGATGTGGTGCTGATGGCCCTGCAGTATACTGTTGGCCTGTGACAACAGTTATGGGACTACTGGTCACTGTTAGGTTAGCAGCAGCGGGCAGACCAAATACTTCCATTGTAGGCCCAGGCACAGAGCAACCTGCTGGACACAAGCCCAAAATTCAATAAACAACATAACCATATGGGAGATAATTTATTAAGGTTACAGCATAACATTAACATTTTTTCCACATTCAAAAAATATCCACAGAGATACACACATGAAAGTGCTGTCAGAAAAAAATAACAAATGCAAATCAACATGCAAAACATTTAGTCTGCTTTAAAGGGACAGTTCACCCCAAAAACAAAAAAAACAAAAAACAAAACAAAAGAACAACTTTTGAAACACTCAACAGCAATGTCTCTTTTCAGAAATGATGACTCAAAATAATCCACAGACCTTGGTGTGAGCACTTTCAGGAACTATTTTCTGTCTACGTATCACCGCTCAAAAATGCTCATTTCCCCCTGCACAGTAATCTAACTGGCTGGTGTAGCTTGGTAGAAAGAAAATAGTTCCTATATGAAACTGCTCAAAGGTCTGCGGATTAACCAGATCATAATTTCTGGAAAGAGACACTTTTTAAATGTTTTTTTTTTGGCGCTTGGAGCACCACCAGCCAAGTGCCATCAAGTTCCATTATATTCAAGAGAAGACATTTCTATGTCCGATATATCCAAAATTTAGGAATTTGCACCAAAACAATCCAGATGGACAAATAGCACTACAGGGAAGAAGAACAATTTGTATTTTTGATTTTGGGGTGAACCTTCTCTTTAACTAAGGTTTATACAGTATACTGTGGAATTTCCCTCGCCAACCTGAGCAGGCAAGAGACACTTTTTGCTCTGTTAATCACTAATGAGCTTTTCACCTCCTTCTACTTTTTCTCTGTAGAAAATTTAAGGACAGGTTTTATGCTTGGTTAATTATCAATACATAAGAACAAGACGTCTAGCAAGAGGACTTTGAGGTTGTGAAGATCACATTAAGAATAAGTGAAGTATGAAGATGGTAATCATTTCAGTGGAAAATGATATAACATCACTCTGTCAGACTTGTTATTTTATGGGATGTGTGCCCAGTCAGTCTATCAGTTAAAATAGACAGAGTTCGTTTTGAGCTAGGGGTCAGATCCTGAATACAGCAGCACTAAGATACTGTTCTAGAGAATACACTTAAAAGTTAGTTACACACATTTATTTGATTAGATATGTTTATCCTTTGTTTTTACCTTTGAAGCTGTTGTTAGAGGAGCAGGCTCCTGTCTGTATGGTAGTTGTCACTGTTGTGGTTGGAGGATGATGAACTTGCTGGTGTGGGGATGCAGTTGAAATGTTTAGATGCTTCCCATTGGTCAACACCTGTCTGCGGAGACTCAAGGTTGGCAGGACAACATGGCTTCCGCTCTGTTTCCCGGAAGCAAAGGAGTGGAAGGCCCCTCTTTTTACCTTTTCCATGCCCGTGGAGGGACTGAGATTGGGCCGTTGTGGGGAGGACATGGGCATCCTGATGGATTGGGACTGGTGTCCTCTGATCATGCTCAGTGATGGGGACACACTGCAAGGAGACACCAGGAGCTGACAACCTTTTCCACTCATGGCTGCGGCAGATTCATTAGACGTTCTTGAGGAAGCTGATTTAAATAGCTGCAGATGGTAAAACTTGATTTACACAGGATATGATAATCCCCTGCTCATACCTATAAAAAACAACAAAACATAAAAGTCCAAATAAATAGAATATTAAAATATGGGATTAAAACACATATAATATACAATCCACAGTCTGTACTTTCAACCTAAACTAGAAAACCACTAAACCACAAACAACTGAGCACCATGTATTTTTAGACTGTATTTTAACGAGATTTTTGAGGTTTTAACCAACAATTATAAACAATTATTATCCAATTTACTACCATACGAAAATTATATTTCATTAAAATGTCAAAATGATCACTGAGAGTCCGTTCTGTTGTATCATTATATTCATAAACATGCTCAAAGCCAACCACTTTTAAAGTTGAGGTTTAGGTAAGGATAAGTGCTTATCCCATATAAACAGCAGCAGCTCTGATGAATCTCTTCGGAATTCAATCTAAAACAGTATCCTCAAACCGTAAAAAATATGACCTTTTTCAAGTTTTTCCATCTCACTGTCTGTGCCGCCTTTACGCACCTGTTGTTGTCGCAAACACTTTTCCCAAAGTGACATGTCAGCATGAGGGGCTCCTTCAGTCTGCCGAGCTGTGAACGTAATCTGGATAAAACCAGGAGATCAACTGCCGTGTTTCTCTGAGAGTTTGTGATGTGTGTGCACTGAGCAGAGAAGTCAAGCCTCTGAGGAATCTTTCAGTTTGAACCGCAGCGTCCCGCCTCACTCCTCTGTTTCCAGGAACTTCTCTTATTTTACCCCTTCTGCCCTTGACGCGGCTTTGTGTGAACGACGTCATTTTAAACAGAGTGGACCTTAGCAGTGAATAATTAAAGATTTTTTTTTTTTTTTTGGTTCACGGGTCCCTTAATACAGCCCACACTGCGCTGAGACAGTCTTTAGGTGAGATCATGCCATAAAGAATAAGCTATGTGTTTTTTTTTATGTGTCTCAGTTGCATATTTATTATTAGTCAAAAGTATTGTTATATCAAGTTTATGGGAAGGAAAACTTTAATTCATGTTCACTTAAAATAGCCTACAGTTTTAAAAGGTTCGCACTCTTGCAGGAATTCTATAAGCCACATCTTTAAGATGGCTTCAGGCTATCATTTGTAATTGAAAACACTGTTGAAAACAACTAATCTGTGGTGGTAAGGTTAACGATTTTATGAGGTATAAAATGACAGATAGTAGTGACAGCTACTGAACATAATTGCATATAGCTGCATACAGATAGCCACATATCCTTAAAGGCTAGGAAGGGAGTGAATGAGTGTCAGCCTCTGGCCTTACAGAGGCCTAGCAGTAACATGTCCATTGTTCTTTGCTGTAAGATATTTATGTTTTTCTTCTAATTAAAACTGAGATTGTAAATATCTTTAAAATGCTGTTCTGAAAAGGAAAGAAAATGATATCAAGATTATCATTTAAGCACATAACATACATAATTCAATATGGAAGGCACACTTTCATTACTCTTTTGTGTTTCTGACAGCCCTACAGCCATGACATGACAAGTTTGCTTGATACAGTTTTTTTCTGTATTCTTTATGCCGCTGAGCATTCCCACAACCGCATTAATTTGAACCTTGCTTGTGACTTTGTGTTGCATGAATCTGCTACCTGCTCTGTTCCTCACTAACGCTATCCTCCTTTTCCTCCTCCCAGCTCAGACACCATTGTTTGGCACTTTTCTCCTGGCCGCAGGAGTATTTGCTCTGTAGATCCTGCTCCAGGTTGCCATGGAAACCAGCATGTTTATAGGAGGAAGGGATGGTGGCTGTTCTTTGGGAACATACATGGAAGAGGATCTCTACTCCACAATTTATCATAATGATGAACTTATAGCTGACTAACAGACAGCATCCACTAAATGAAAATACATGTGTGTAAACAGACTGTGCTGACTGGTGTGTCTTGAGGGGTTGGAGGACTAATTTTGGTCTGCAGTCAGACATAATGACTGCTGGGAATTTGCATTGATCAGAATGGTGCATTGTTGATGCATATGGTTCAGTGACTTCATTGGCTTATGGGCTTTTCACTGTATTATTCAAATGAGGATGCTTTGCCTGTCTCTGTTATCTATAAAATATACCTGTGAGATTATTTCCTAAATGAAAACTTTTATTTTTGGTACAGGAAAATTACTGATTATGAATTACTGTGCTCATTTGATGATTGAGATTGATCACTTGAGATTTCAGATAAAATAAATTATGGTTTTGAATTTAAAGTAGTAGTGACCTCTGGTGGGATAGCATTAAATTACTCTGCTCCCAGCCTGTGAAAGCAATTTATTGGGCCTACATTTATGCAGTATTTCAGCTTCAGTTCATCACAATATTACTTTCATATTCCTGATCTGATGTCTATAAAAACATTTTTAAAACACTAAAAAGAGGGAACAGTGATGTACTGCAGAACAGAAGACTTTTCTAATCTCCCTTTTTCTTCTTGTGTGAAGTGTTCCCTCTTTAGCCAGCAGGGGATACTATTAGTACACCAGTGGGGTGGTTGTCAGCACCATACATTTACAGATACAGAAAAAAAGAATAAGAAAAAAGAAATGTAAAGATGTAAGAAAGGACAAATGTGATGCTTGTGAAGGTCACCAAGATAAGACTGCTCCTTGTTCACATGATTACATAAAATACTCTACATCTTTCAGGGATCCACCAGCCCTACTGTGATTTGGCCTCTTCTTCCCTCGACTAAGTGAGTCATGGTGCGTTTCCAAATGTCAGAGTGTAACAGGATGGTAAAGCGTCTGAGCTTGAGGCAGAACAACAACGCAGATGTAGCTGCTTGCTCTTCTTCTCAACAACAAAAACTGACACTTGGAGCGGTGCTTTCATAGATATGCTCATACTGGATAACATTTACAGTTTAAAACACTCTCGGTCAAACTGGAACATGTCACTTAACTTTTCTCCAGTAGTCCATGGCCTCCTCTGTATCCTCCAAACAGAAGCAAAGGATGTTTTAAGGAAAGTATTTGAGGAGAGAAAGTGGACAAATAGGTGCAGCAAAGTGTTAAAAAAAAAGACCAAGAACCAGATGAGATATAAGTGTTGACCATTTGTGAAAAGCTCCATTTGTAGCAGAATTAATGCTCTAATAGACTCTCCACCACTTACAGAATCCATTTTCCCCACTCTTGATGACAGCATCAGCACTCCTGGAAGTAGCAAAGCATTCATTCTGGTGTCAAGATGAGAAACCATGGGTAATTTCTCTTTAGGTTATATTACAATAGTCACTTAAGGTAATGCACACCCCAGTGGACCTGTGATTAATTAATCTGCTTTTGATTTGCTAATGACAGTTCAAGTCAAATACAAGGTTAGTGAAGGCTGAGTCAATCCTTTTAACTGCAGCTGCAGAGAGGACTCTGGTGAGTGTAGGAGATATCAATTTATTGGTATCATCCCTCATTATAACGGCTGCTATTAGCCTGCGGCACCTCACATACTTACTCACGGCATATTAATAGGCAAATACAGCGTTACACACTCTCATATCCGAGATTGCATTAAAAGTCTCTCATAAACATTAAAATCACTCATGTTGTTTGTAGCCAATAGTGTTAAATTAATGTTTTGTAAGACATCTAAAGTAAAAAAGAAAAGACAAATAGAGATGCAGCACCATCCACTGTACATGACGTACAGTAGGGGAAAAGACCAATTCATCCATCTCCTTCTGCTCCACAACTGTCAGTACCAACACTCAGATGAAGATGAGTGTGAGAGAGATGGGCTTCTGAGTGTCTTCCATCTCCATCTGTCAATCTTAGTTGACTTCTCTAACAACCTTTACAGAGAAGTGATATCTGATGGAAAAAAAGGAGGACGGCAGAGAACACAGGCGCCCATGTCTCTTCCAGCAGACTCTGTCTTTTTCCTCCTCCCTGCTGTGTTTCCGAACAGGATGACTCTAATAAAAGATTGCTGACACAACAGCCCCTGTGTTTAGAACCGCCGTTAGGCTACGGGCTTGTTTTTAATTTGAGTGCACGTTCGGGGGTGAAGCCTAAGGATGTGGGTGCTGTAAGCTCCCTCTTTCCTTTTTGGATATTATTAACACTGCGGCTCTGGAATCGCATCTAGGACGATGAGGCCTGAGCGCTGGAGCATAATCACAGGACTCTGAGTCTGCCAAATCAACAGAAACATTTCCCAAGACTTCAATATAAACACAAAAGGGAGAAAAGAAGCTTGGACAACAAAAGATGCAGATCAAGAGTGAAAGGGAGTTTAATTTAAGTAACTGAAATCCAATTAAATCTGGGTTACTCAACCATAACATGATGTGGCTCAATGACAAAGCGTAAGGCAATAACAATGACCAAACTTGATATAATGCTTTCAGAGTAGAGCTTTTATCTGCATGTTGGACATGTGCACACAAGACCTTGGACATTTCACATGGTCACATAAGAACTGACCTTATTGATGATGATCTCAGAATGTAAAATTAAAGAAAACAGGTTTAAAATAAATAGGTTTCAATACTGTAGCTACTTCTTTAGCAACGTTGCTGTTTAAATTAATACAAAAAGTTCAGGATGTATGACACATCTCATATTTGTGTTTAAAAATGAAAACATAGATTAACATATTTATTGTATTGCATTTGCTCTTCAATGTGCCTCATGCTTCACTATGAATTTTTTTTTTACATTTTGTTAAATAGTGTGTGAGTGTAGACTTAAGTTTAACTTGACTCATATGGCTCAGGGTGAAAAACCTCCACAACTGCAGTTATCATAGTTAAGTGGCACATGCTTGTGGGGTGTGTGTGAGTACTTTGATAGCAGTGGTACAGCTTTAGGAGGCCTGTTTGAATTTCTTAGTGCCAGCACTCTGGTGAGGGCTGACAGGGCACGTAAGACAACCTAGAAGGTCCAGACATAGGAGGGTGTGTCATTAAACCCCTGCCTGGAGCCCCCTGGTCAGATCATCCCAACATCCGTCTTCATTAAAAAGGTTGCTCTCTGAGCAGATGGTCATTAAGAGCACCCCCCCTCTTCAGTCCCGGCACCCTCTATACACTAGGACACTACCTAGAGGACACCCATCATCCCTCAGGAACCCCAAACCTCATAGAAGAAGAAGAAGTGGTGCCCGACACTGCCACCTCGTAATGATCACTCTGGGGTCTTCATAAATCTCTTTTTGAAATCTTTCAAAACAAGAACATTGAAGTATGTAGATGGCACATGTAGCAGTATAATCAATGTGTCAAACCCCATGGCACAAGATAGAGGTGGTCAGAGTGACACAACTGACACAAAAAAGTAAGTAATATCATCAGTGCTTTCCTGCTCTGTTTCCTTTTCCAGTTAAGTGTTTTTGTCCCTGTGTCTATTGTGTGACTGGCATATCAATGTTGTTTGAGACTACACTGTTGTTCAGACAGGTATGGCAGGGGACATGTGAGGACATGGCCAGATTTTCAGGGAAAGCTGGGGTTCATAAACACAGGATTTGACACTGAGGTCCTGTTGCTCCACTGCAGCCACCCTTTGCCAGTGGTGGAATGCAACTAAATACATTTATCAAAATACTGTACTCAAGTACAAATTCAAGGTGCTTAGGTCTACTCTACTGCATCTTTGAGGCATATATTGTACTTTTTACTTCACTACAGCTTTACCTACTTTTCAGATTATAGTTTTCTATACCCTTCATGTAAATAAAAACCTTGTATCTCCAGACTTTATTGATTTTGAAATTTAATTTTTCC